AGGTGTCCCTGGCTTTCAGTGGAGGATAGGGCTGGAGGACTGACTCAGATGGAGGTTTGAAAAGTTGCAATCTGTTGGCAGTTTCTAGAGGAGGCTGGAAAACCAGCATTCTGGTCTTTATGCCTGGAAGGATGGCTGCTGCTTCATCTCCCCGCTCTGTGGATGTTGGTGCTGGCCTAGCTCGCCACAACAGACATTTTTTTAAACTGGAGGATAATTGCTTTACAATGTGTTGACTTCTGCTTACAACAATGTGAATCAGGCATAGGTATACATATAGCCTCTCCCTCTTGAGCCTCCCTCCCAACCCACCCCTGTTCCCACTCCTCTAGGTCATCATAGAGCACCAGGTTGAGCTCCCTGTGTACACAACAACTTCCCATTAGCTATCTATATTACACATGGTAATGATTATGGTTGGAGGAGGTTGGTTGTATGTGCTTAGTCGTGTCCGACTCTTTGTGACCCCATGGACACAAAGGGGTCCCGCCAGGCTCCTGTGTCTATAAGATTTCCCCGGCAAGAATACTAGAGTGGGTTGCCATTTCCTACTCCAGGTAATGTATAAATTTAAAATTATATTCTCTCAGTTTATTTCACCCTGTTCTTGCCCCCACCATCCATGTACACAAGACCATTTTCTACATCTCTGTCTCTATTACTGCCCTGCAAATAGGTTCATCAGTACCATCTTTCTAGATTCCATATATATGCGTTAATATAAAATAATTGTTTTTCTCTTTCTGACTTACTTCCCTCTGTAAAACGGCTCCCTGAAGGACTTTTTCAGAGACATCTGTGTCCGCATAAACAAAACCTGACTTTAGCCACGGAGTTCTGTCTTCTTTTCTCCCTTCACATTTTTCTGTGACACTAAACATACTCCTAGGAGCCTAGTCAAAACTGCCCACACTGGTGTCAGTGAAGGACCACAAGGCTGAAAGACTTTGTTTGCAGAAAGGGGAGGGTCAGGAGAAGGTGGGACAGAGTCCATCTCCCCTCACACCCTCGTTTAATCCAAAGCGTTGGTGTCACATTCCTTCTGGAACTTGTGTCACTGCAGAATTTACATCTCTCTGACTTCAAGACCTAGAGACAGTGTCCATGTTTGGTGAGCCTCTTAGCAACCAACAAGGCCCATTGATTGGGAAAGGCCAGCCTGACAGGTTTATATGCTCTTCCTTGGAGTTCGTGCTGTTTTGTGTAGAACACAGACAGGGTCCTTGAAGTGACTGCATCACCTCCCAGGAGCAGCCTGTGGGAATGGTCCCATGTGATATTGCAGTTGGGCGTCTCTGCTTAGTGGCTGACACTGCTGGACCAGTTGGAAGGTGGGATTCTCACTAACGGGATTCCCCTGGCCTGCATGTCGACCTTCCAACCATGGGGTTTAGCTAACTCTCTCCTGGCAAGGGAGCCAATCAATAAGTAGACAAGAAGGGGTCCCTTTGGTCCCAGAGTCCACTGATTCCAGCTCATCAAACTCTCTGAGTGCAAGAGTGTTCGCAGGATTAGACTGGAAGGTGAATAGCAGATATTTGTGAAGTTAGAGGTAGAAATGTTCCGTGGGGTGGCAGGATGCCAGTGACCTTGGGAAGGAGATACTAGTTGCTGGGAGGTACAGAGCAGGGGGATTAACAACAACTAAATAAATATAGAATAAAAGATCAGGTATCAACAGGTCCTGTGAAGAACTAGGGCAGAGGCACAGTGAGTTGCATAGGGCAACCAATGTGCTATTTTATATAGGGTGATCCTGAGGAGGTGACACTGGGGCACACACCTGAATGAAATGACAAAATATATACAGTAAGATCCTGAGACCTGAGGTTCCTGGACTAGCAAGCAGACCTGTGCAATGAAAGCCACGGGGATAGGAAGGAGATGGGGAGAAAATCAGATGAGAGAAAGACCCAGATGATACAGGTCTTGGGGTTCTTGGTGAGCTTGTTGGGTTCTTTTGAGAGTGCCTGGAAGCTGCTGGAAGGCTTTGATGCCAGGAAAAAGCAGGATCAGAACAGACCAATTTGTCCTCTGCCCTCTTTCACCACTCTCTTGCAGGGAGGACCTAACCCCAGGGCTTGGTTTGTGAGGGGGAAGAGACAGTTAAGGAGAGAGCTGAGAGAGCAGGATATGAGCTGATGGTGTCCTCAGAGACCTCATCCTTTTCTCTTCTCTCTCCTCTCTGCCTCCCTCCTTTCCCTCCTCTCTTCCTTCCTGTATTCTTTGGACCAAACCACTGTGTCCCAGTTTGGGAGGGTGAGTAAGCCTCTGGCTCTCTCGTCTCCACTCTGTGTCAAGGTGGCATGAACTCTCCTCCATGCTCGCTGACCTCCCCAGGACTCCATGTCTCACCTCACTGGCCCCCCAGGCAGAGCTGTGGGGAGTCAGGGTGTCATGACACACTTCTGCGGTCTCACAGCTGGGTGGACCCAAGTGCCTGGGCCTTTTGTTGGTGGGAGTCAGTAGGTCCCAGGTCCTGGGACTTGGTTCTGATTTGATTCTGCTGCAGCTCGGGGAAACAGTTGACCCATACAGTGCTTCCGCACCCACCTTCTTAAGCTCTGGATCAGGAGTGGGGCATAAGGAAACACTGATAGACATGAAGGAAATCATTCCTGATTGGCCACTAGTGGGAGATGACTGTACTGCGGAGCTGACCGAGAGAGGTGCTGTGTATACTAAAGGAGCACACATGTGTTTGGGTCATGTTGGGAGAGACATTGTTTCTTGGAAGTTATCTTTGAAGAGGTCATAATTGAATAGGGCTTTGAAACACACAGAGGCCTTCCTGGAGGAGGAATGTTGGGTGAACATGGAAAGAGCCTCCTGCTAGAAAATGTCAGGACCAGAGCAGTGTGCACCAGCCATATGCACCGGCTTCCACGGACATCTGGTGCCATGATGACAAATAAACAGGCATGGAGGTGTGCTCACAGTGTGGTTAGGAGACAAGACCAGCATCAGGAATCCATGAGCAGCCTCACTCACTGAGATCACTGAGGTGCAAAAGGAGGCACTGCTTTGAGGAGACTGTCAGAGCAGAGAGAAAAAATAAAGCTGGATGGGACCTTTTGGATGACCCTGGGTGGTTCATATTCTTGAGGTCACGGAGTTCTTTAAGAATCAATCAAAGCTATTGACTCTTCTCAGAAGAAAAATATGTCTGTACCTGTACACTAAGTTTTTAAAAATTGAGATATAATTCACATACTATAAAATTCACTACTTGAAAGTGTACAATTCAGTGCTTGTTAATGTATTCACAAGGTTATACAACCATAATCTCTATCTAATTCCAGGGCATTTTCATCACCCTAGAAAGAAACTTTATAACCTTTCATAGTCTTTCTCCATTCTCCCCTCTCTCCAGCCCTGGCAACTACTAATCTACTTCCTGTCTCTGTGGATTTGCCTATTCTGGATATTTGGGGCCTTTTATGTGATTCAGTTCAGTTCAGTCACTCAGTCGTGTCCAACTGTTTGTGACTGCATGGACTGCAGCACACCAGGCTTGTTTATGTGATTAGAATTATATAATATGTGGCCTCCTGTGTCTGGCATCTTTCACTAACTATATTGTTTTGAAGGTTTATTCATGTTGCAGTATGTATTAGTACTTCATTCTTTTCATGAATGGATTTTCCATTTAGTTCTTCCATTGTATGGATAGAGTAGGCTTCCCTGGTGGCTCAATGGTAGAGAACCTGCCTGCCAATGCAGGAGACACAGATGTGATCCCTGGGTTGGGAGGATCCCCTGGAGAAGGGAATGGCTACCCACTCCAGTATTCTTGCCTGGAAAATCCCATAGACAGAGGAGCCTGATGGGCTACAGTCCATGGGATCACTAAAGAGTCAGACACAACTCAGTGACTAAAACAACAACCTGGGTAGACCACAATTTTTTTTTGTCCACGCATCAGCTGATGCACATTTAGGTTGTTTCCACTTTTTACCTGTTATAAGTGATACTGCTGTGAACATCCATGTACAAGTTTATGCACTAAAATCTGCAGATCATTTCAGGAGGTTCATAGAACCCCTGAAACTCATGTCTTGAATTCTTGAATTAGGAAAACCTTGTTTATGAAAAGGCAGGAATTCATGAGGGAATGAGCTCCTTAAACTGGAGTCCATTAAATATGCCCACTTTTTAATATCAATTGACTCTAGTACTCTTGCCTGGAAAATCCCATGGACGGAGGAACCTGGCAGTCTACAGTCCATGGGGTCACAAAGAGTTGGACATGACTGAGTGACTTCATTTTCTTTCTTTCTTATATCAAAATAAAGCTATTTTTGAAATAAAATCATTTTTATAATGATGGAATGGAGAAGACAGGAAGGCTATCAGTAATTTATTACTATTTACTGAGCAACTCTAAGTGAGGCACTTCACATCTCACAGTCATTTAATCCTAAATATCCCTGTGACATTATGTTATTCATTATCCCCGTATTACAGATGGGAAAATTGAGACTCAGAGAAGCCATGCCAGGTTTCTCGGAGAAGTCAGAGCTTAAGTTGAGCCTTGACTGCCAGACAGTGAAAGAAGCTACACATCCCATCTCCTCTTGACCCGCATCAAGGCCCCTATTTCCTCCCATTTATTTTTAAGTGGAGTACTGATGCCCCATCTGCTAGCAAGGCATCCATTTTGCTAAGCCCAGAACTGACCCAGTGCACGGTGGTGTCCTGGACTGCCGTACAATGAACCTTCCCCAGAGGGCCCCCTGCCTCCTGCTCTTTCCCTTTGTGGGGGGCAAGCCTCCAGTCCAGCCAGTGTGCCCATCTGGCTGTGGTAATAATAGCTCAGGGGCGCCCTGGGCCTCTCTGGAACAGCAGAGATTCATCTGGAGCCCTTGGTGTGAAGTCCTTCTGTGTGTCGTGTCCAGCAGGCAGGTCCCAGGGTCAGGCTGAGGGTGGCATGTGGTCAGGGGGTTAGCTGCTGTCTGAAGCCCAGTGTCCGCCACCACGCTCTCTGCTTTGTCTCCCAGCCGGTGGACAACCAGCAAGCCCTGATACGCAGGGAGTCTGCGGTCAATCTGGAGAACTTCAAGAAGCAGTATGTCCGCAGGCGGTGGAAGGTGGGTCAGGGTTGAGGGGCGGGTGCGGGGGGCTGAGGTGGGTTCCTGGTTCCTTCCAGACCCCTCCAGGCTCTCTGCACTTTCTCACCTGGCAATTCCCCTCTGCTCCCCCACTCAGCTCTCCTTCAGCATTGTCTCCTTGTGTAACCACCTCACCCGATCCCTGATGAAGAAGGTGCACCGGAGGCCGAACGAGGACCTGGTGGGTAAACACAGTGCTCTCTGAGGGTGTAGCCTTGATCTGGGAGGGGGTGTGGGGAGCAGGTGGGGCTTAACTGATTCCAGCAGGCTCTGCACCGTGTGATCAGCAGAGGCTGTGTTCACGGGAGACCACTGGGGTGGTGCTGGAAGAAGGGTGCTCCAAGGTGGGGTTACATGAGTCTCTGGAGGATCTTGAATCCTTTCCTAATGGGCTTTTGGAGGGACTCTGCTGCCACTCCACAGCCCCGGCTTCCCTGGAGGACCTGTAGCCTGTTAGGGGCTGCGGGAACTCTGCACAATGAGACTATCACGGGCGGGCAATCCAAAGTCAGTTCCTGATAATCCAGGGATCTGCTTTAGAATGAGAGCTTTACATTCATTTGCCAACTTTTCCACTTCTGCTTTGCCTTAGATTACCAATAATAATATTTAGATGATATATTTGATTAGCCTGTTGCAACTTTATGTGCATTTAAAATGGGAAACTTATAATGTCAAAAGCATGGCCTCTGGAGCCAGACTGCCAGGATTCAAATCTGCCACTTACTAGCTGTGTGACCTTCAGGAAATGACTTAACCTCTTTGTGCTAAATGAAATCATTTGTAAAAAGGGGTTAGCAATAGTTCTTACCTCATAGGGCAGTCATGAGGATTAAATGATGACATATTCTTAGAGCCTGGCATTTTAAGTGCTCAATACTTATTAGCAGCTAGTATTGTTTAAAATCCTCTTGTAGACTCTCAAGTGCAGTGCTGGTGCTCCCAAGTGCAGTGTTAGTATTGTGGCTGGTCAAGGGTCCCTGGCAGACCCTCCTCACAGCTTACCGAGTGTGGCGACGGCCTCTCGAATGGCCCAGGTCAGGAGAGAAGGTGACTCCCTACTCAGGAAGAGGCCGTAAGGCAGCAGCCTGCCTGTCAGCCCTGGGCAGCCTCGGGGCACACAACACTTAGGCTACATCCCAGGTCTTGGCACTGCCCCTGTGTGCCCCCCACCAGCCCGAGCTCTTCTTGAGCTTGGGGAACTGGAGGACTTATGGCTTAGAGACCCATAAACTGTGGGCTTTGGCCAAACTGTGTTCCTTCTCTGGCCACATTCCTCATCTGCTATAAAAGGGGACTGGAACAGCTTCAACTGCATGCAACAAATTGTGATAAATTCTCTTTTCATTTTTATTCTGTTACAAATATTTTCTAATTTTCCTTGTTCAATACAACCATCATTTAAAAGTGGACTTTTAATTTCCAAATACATAGAGTTCTTAATGTTAAAAAAGAAGTGGGGAGGGGGACTGGACTTGCTCCTTCTGAGAATCCCTGTTAATCACAAGCAGATTGTCACCCAGCTTACTTTTTTATTGTTTGGCTCTGACTCATGCTAAAAAGTTGCAATTCAGCAGAGCTTGAGTTATTTTTATTGTTACAGCCAGGCTAGGTCCAGGATGTATTTGGCTAAAGTTGATCTTGACCTTGAATTTCGAGCTGGTTCAGGACAAGGGAAAGAGACGGGGCCCTGAGTAGGCACACGGCTGACAGCATGCACACCTCTCAGGCTGAGTTGGCCTGATACAATGCTGGCCATTGAGAAAGAGAAACAGAGAGTAATTGAAAAGAATGTAAAATTCTTTCCTAATTTTTGTTTATGTGTGAACATTTAAATTAGTTCTCTTTTTACTCAAACACACAGCACCTGATATCAACCCAATGGCTCACCCTCTAAGTAGAAAAGAAATGGGTCCCAGACATCTATTATACAGCTTTCCCAAAAACATTTTCCTTAAAAAAAAAAAAAAAAAAGGAAAGAAGAAGAAAAATAGACACATCCTTTTGTTTAGGAAGCATTAAAATTTAAAATCTGAGGACTTCTCTGGTAGTCCAGGGGTTAAGACTCCATGCTTCCACTGCAGGGGACATGGGTTCGACCCCCAGTCAGGGAATTAAGTTCATGCATGCCACAAGTTGTGGCCAAAAAATTGGGGGAAAAAATACAAAAAGAAAAGCTTTAAAAATATATAAATAAATAAAACTGTACATCTGACAACAGCTTTTTCTATGATTTGCATAAGTATTTCTCAATTAATACTTCTTTCAATAGTTTTAATTATTTAAGTAGATGCATATGGAATGAATGAAAAAGGCGCGGTGACTTCCAGGGTGGCGGCCTCTGCTCTGGCTTAGCTATGTAGGAGCTGATAGAATCTGCTTTACTCTTTTTCCCTTTCATAAAAAAAGGAGCACAGAAGCCGTTGGCCCGGAAAGACTACATTGCAGGACTGGCTAAAGGTGCAGCCTAAGCCAGTCAAAGCAGAGGGGGTGAGGTGACCATCGAGCCTGGGGAGGTCCTGCCAGCCCTCCTTCATTCTCTGTAGGCGAGGTCAGGAGACCCATCCACTGACCAGCTAGCCAAGTGGTCTTAATTATGTGGCAGCCACAGAGGACACCAGATATAATTTTCATGATTATCATTTGGCCTCTTCTGGTGCCTGACTTCCCCTAGAGGCTCTGCCTGCTTTCCTTCCTCCTGGAAAGGCGGCCTGCAGGCGGTCGGCCTGGCCCCGCTTCAGGGACCTCCCCATCCCTCTCTCTTCCACCCCTGGTCTCTGGACAGAGCAACAGGCTTCCCCTCCATGTCCACCTCCCTGGTTGACAGGCTCCTGACTCAGGTGCATCAGCCCAGGTTGCCCAGCATGACCCCGTTTTTGGCATCTTCTGACCTTCTTGCTCTGGGTCTCTCTCTTTTTTTCTTTTTTTCCCAGAGGAATTGTGAGAGTGACACGGAGGAGGACATCGCCAAAAAAAAAGCCCTCCGCCCCCGGAGGAGGAGCAGTATCTCCTAACTGACCAGGCTCTAGGTGGCCACCAGGGAAGCCCAGGCCCAGCAAGGCTCCTTTCTCTGCAGACTCTCGGACCCTGCTTGTCACCAGCGCCTGAGCATTCTGCAACCCTGAGCACTTTGCAAGAAAGATGGGCATGCAGGATTCAGAGGGATTTGTGGGGGATCCAGGAGATCCTGGGAGCTGTGGCTATCTCCTATGGAGGAGACTCCAACATTCCCAAAGCCCTTAATTCTCCATAAAATGGGCTTTCACCTGTCTGCCCACCTCAGAAGCTGGGATGGGATGTGACCCTAAGAAAATGATGTAGATGACCATCATCACCATCATCATGGGTAAAGGTCAGATTTGGGCAGCTTTCCTTGCAGGATGAGGGAGTTCAGAACCAGCCTGGTCAAAAATGATACCAGGAAGACAGACACCTCACCCGTGGGCAGAAGATACAGAGTGAATGTTGGGGTGTGAGGGACCAATCCTGTGACCTCCCAGAACCCACTTGGAGTCAGCGTGGCATGCCGGCCAACTTATCAAACCTCCTAAAGCAGCCCATTGGCAGCCCACTGTGTTGTCATTTTTTTCACTTTTATTAAACTTCTTGTTTACCTGATGCTCAGATGATTCTTGGGCTATCTGCATCGATTTTCTTTAGCTCGGGTGTCTATGACTCTGGGGAGCACCCAGGGTTGGGGTGCTGAGTGGATAGCACCTCAGAAGGTCATATTGAACCACCTATTCTGGACTCAGAGTCCCTGCCTTCTTCATCTTTCCCTAAAGGTGTGCAGCCCAAGAAAACCAGCCTGGATGCCAGCCTAGAATACCTGTGTCCCCTCTGCCACAGGGACCATCACCTCTGCTGGTACCACAGAATATTTGGAGAGAGATCTTCAAAGAGGTAGTTAAGGAAAATGAGGTCATTGAGGTGGCCCCATATCCAATATGACTGGCGTCCTTATAAGAAGAGAGATCAGAGGAAGAATGTATGAAGAGACAGTGAGAAGGCGGCCATCTGCAAGCTGAGGGGAGAGGCCTCAGGAAACCAACCCTGCCAAGACCTCAATCTCAGACTTCTGGCCTCTGAAACTGTGAGGAAGTCAATTTCTGTTTTTAAGCCACCTAGATTGTGCTGCTTTGTGAAGGCAGCTCTAGAGAACTAATACATCTGCCCAGTGATGGCCAAGATAGGGGCAGGGGGCTTTTTGAGGATATGGTTGAAGAAGGTCAAAGAAGGACCTACAGGGAGAAAGGAGAGGAGAAAGAGATGGATTACCTGGACCCTTGAGTGAATATGGCTGAGAACCTTAACCACTAGGAGTTTGGACCCTGCTTTGTAGGCAGAAGAATAGTGGTGCTGACCAGAAACCCAAACCGGAAGTAAGAGGGGTCCAGGTGAGGCCCCAAGACTGAGAAAGTACATGGGAAGAGGTGGAAAGAAAAGGAGAGAGGTTCCGGAAGGTGAGTGAGGGGAAGTGTGCAGGAAGCAGAGAGGGAAAGAAAATAGAGGCGGAAAGGGAAGGGCACTGGGAAAGGGGAGGCAATCCTTTTCCATTGTCAGCAGCAGATTTCAAGACCGTTGTATAAGAGCATGGATAGAGCAGCCCTCATCCAATGGATGGATCCGGGGCAAAATGGCCCCACAGGATCAGAAAGTCAGTCCAGTTTCAGAAAAGCTTCCAGCCAGAAATGGAGTGACCTGCAAGCTTGTTGAAGAAAGCTCTGCTGTTGCCCTGTAGTTCCTAGACATCCCAGTTCTCAGGAGGATCCAGTGCCTCCCTCTAGCCTCTGGAGGATAGCCAAGGCCAAGAACCACCGTGTTCAGGGCCCCTTGGTCCTGGCTGTGGCTGGACACGCAAATCATCAGGGAGTGCTCTAGAACAGGGGCTCCCGGGAGCTGCCAAACAGTAATAATGTGGTAGTGGGAAGGGGACTGCCCAGCTGCTAGGAAGAAGAGGAGTGGCTTTTACAAACCCGGTCTTGAGTTTCCAATCATGACCAAAGGGCAAGCCTTTTGGAACTTGTCGGCCCAACTACTGCATTGTACTGAAGCTGAGAGAGAGGAAGTGACTAGTTCTGCTTCACACAGCAAATTTGTGAAAGTGCCTGATGAAAGCCCAGACTTCCTGATTCGTAGTACAGTGCTCATTTCTACAACTTGATGAACTTCGGGAGACTTTTCAGGAAATGGATGGACCCTTTGCTTTGGGTCATCTTAAACATGCTCTCATCTGTTCTTTACTGTTGCCTGTCTTGTTCATTTCTTTGAATTAGACGAAATGGTCACAGGGCACTGCCCCTGAGCAGGGACAGCTTGGTAGCCAGTCTCCATGGGCTGCAAGTCAGTCAGTGAACTGTTGTTTTTGGACTCGCTCTGTATGCCTGGGACTGTTCTAGATGGGGGGTTAGAACAATTAATAACACGGAGGTGACACCTCCCCTACAGGGGTTGACATTCTCCAAGTCCTGGGAATCTAGGACTCCATCCTGCCCACAGGCTGCTCCTCCCACCTCCTTCCCATCCAGGTTATATGAAGCCCTGTTGCCTGAGTCCTCCCCCACCCCCTCCGCCCACGCCAGCTCTCTGGGGTTCATTGGAACTCGCTGGGTTTCCTGAATCCCTCAGGAAGCACAGGGGCAAGCAGTGGGCAGAGGGGGACATTTGAGAATATGCACATCCTTTGAGGATGACTTTGATACCCAGTAGTCCGAAGGCAAGCACCTGTGCCCCCCATCCAGGGGCCTGGTCCCTGTGGCCTCTGGGCCAGCAGATGGCTGGTGCCCTCCAGGTGTGAGGAGGGTGGGGCAGCTGGCCCAGGGGGATCAGGTGTGCTGGGTTTGTTCTGAAGAAGGCTTCGCTCACCAGTTGATACCTCAGGAGACCACAGCATGCCCTGAGGCAGATGGAACATTTTTGGTGATGAGAGCTGTGCTCAGTTAAAAGGCAGTCTTCAAAGAGTCTGAGGGTACCCTGTGTCTGTGTTTGCAAGATGCTGTATTAATATTTCACAAATGCATTTATAAATATTTCAGTGCTCTGCATTTTAATGTCAATCTCACTGGCTTTCCTGACTCCAGATCTTAGATCTCATTTGCCTTTTCCACTAGCCTTTAATTTGCTGATAACCTTATTTTGGAAGGAGATGAAGGCCATATCAGAAGAAATGAACCACAAAATCTCTTTGAAAGGCAAGTAGGTAGGTACGTATGAAAAGAGCTAAACCGAGGACTGGGATAGTGTAAGAAATTTCATCTGGCACAGGCTTATAGAACTTTTCATCTGGTCCCCCAACTGATGTCATCCTGACATTGTTCGGTGCACTGTTGCTGCACCCCAAAGAATAATTGTCCCTTGGTGGGGACCCCTAAGAGGGTCCCATTCTAAGGAGACCTTAATAGGCTTTGATATTGGAACAGTTGAAGAACTATAAACAATGGTTAATTCACATTTCAAAAATCAGAAACACAGTTGGTGACCTCTCATTAATAGCTTCTGTTTTCAACCTTTTTCCTACTAGTTCCCTTTTTCTCTTCCCCTCCACCATTAGCAAGTCATAAATATATAGCTGAAGTATATGCTTTATTAATGTCTTTACTTTTTGAATAAAGTTTGTGTTTCCAGTTCTTAATCTAAAAAAAAAAATAGTTGGTTATATTATCTGGGGAGAAATAATTTTTTAAGCATTTCCTCCCACACTGAAGTGGTCCTCTACCACTGAGCTAAAAAAAAAAAAAAAAAAAAAATTGAAAGAAAAGCTCACAGTAATTTTTAAAAACCTGTTCTGCGGTAGGAGCACTTATATACAGCATTTTAACATTTTATTTAATCTTTGTAACCTTGTAAGATAAAGGAGAGCTCCATTTCTAAAGATGAGGAAGCTGAGACTTAATGGAGTTAAGAAATTTGCATGCAATGAAACAGCCCAGTTTCGCCTACCTCCAATTCTACATCCTTCTCTACTTTTCCTAGGGAGGCAGTGTTGAGTGAACAAAACATCCCTGAGAACCAGAGACAGCATGATACTGTTTTTATAAAGCTCAAAATCTATACTATACTTTGTTTGGGAGTACATGCCAATGTAAAAAACAGTATTTTAAAGACAAGGCAATAATTACACACAAAATTCAAGATGAGGCTTACCTCCTGATGGCCGAGATGGGGAAGAGGTCAGCAGTGGGTGCTAAGCTGTTGGCAGAGTTCTGGAGAAATTCATGATGGGCTTACAGGAATTCATTTTATTACTTTGCTTTCAAGACCATCCCCATGGAAAAGAAGTGCAAAAAGGCAAAATGGTTGTCTGAGGAGTCCTTACAAATAGCTGTGAAAAGAGAAGCAAAAAGCAAAGGAGAAAAGGAAAGATATTCCCATCTGAATGCGGAGTTCCAAAGAATAGCAAGGAGAGATAAGAAAGCCTTCCTCAGCGATCAGTGCAAAGAAATAGAGGAAAACAACAGAATGGGAAAGACTAGAGATCTCTTCAAGAAAATTAGAGATACCAAGGGAACATTTCATGCAAAGATGGGCTCAA